ATATATTGCACTTTTATTAACTTTAACTTTATTAATTTATTCAGATATTAATGGTTTGCGAAGTCAATTAAAAGTTTTTGAATGAAATAGTATTTCTTTTAACATTTTAACTTTCTTTGAGAAAGCTGTATACTACATTCTTTGGCGGTATACTTTTTCCGTATATCTTAGATACAGGAAATGTTCGAGATATATGGGTATAAACTATAAATAGTAACATACTTCACATACTTGTCTGCCGCGGTAGTGGCCGCAAGTGCTAAACAAGAGGTCTCGTATTCCAATCTTCGACTAGGCTAGGTATTATTAAGCTTTGTTCGGTTTTGCTGAACATTTCAATTTCATCTCATTAAAAAGAAATACTATAGTTACCACGAATGGAAGGAGGATAGGGAGGCCTTTGCCCTGCTGTGGGACGATCATGGCTGAAAATAAATAAATAAATAATAATAGTTACGACACCTGTCCAATATAGTCTACTTGCAGAACAAAACATTTTACAGCCTTTTCGAAAACCTAGTCCTAGTAATATGCATGTAAATCTACCCGGTAATAGGATTTCTAGCACCTATAAAGTTCAGAATACGAGTCGTGTCGACACTCGACATATCAGATAGTATTACTTTGAGCAAAATATCTCAGGAACATTAAGGTTAAACAATTCCAATCACAACTAGATCCGTTTATATGCTGAACAAAATTACAACTTACAATTTTGTAACAGAGTTCAAATTGTACTGTTAGACATTTGGTCTATCACGGTTGAAATAAACGATCAATGTTACGTTGCAGTGTAGTTGGTGCCCGATTTGGGTAATTGTAATTACAGTGTGTGACGAATTTTAGTTGTCCTCAATTTGAGGTCTGGTTTTGTTAGAAATAAGTAATTTTTGGATTCGGTTTGAACTCAACTTTTCACGGTTTGTAACGAGAGAATTTGTACAATCTGCGGTTGAGATTTTGATGAGGATTTTATGCTTCTAAAGTCTTGCAAAAGACTATTTATCCATTTTACATCATAAATCTTTTACATCACTTGTTTCTTTATTTCACCGATATCTGATTTCCAGAACATTCCAGTGAGAGACACAAGGAATACTAAGCCGTATCCAATAGAAGGTCATTTGTCTGAATCGTTTTACCCATTTAGCGAGGCGGTAAAACTCACCCGAGTACATTCCGAGACGTAAAATATTGCCTTTTGGATTACCAAAGACAGGAACACTGTTTTTGGTAATCTGGTTAGACGGTACCCTGGATTGAAAAGATTGGATTTCACTGATTAATCGTGGTTTTGGGTTAATTGATGCGTTATGGTGCCTATAAAGGTGTTAGCCCGTGATTGATGATAAGGAAACCCTCAGAAAACTGGTTTATGGCGAGAAAGAATAGAGAGTGATAGACTTACCTCATCAAAACCACCTGGTGATCACTATCTGTACTGGGTCGGTCCTTTAAATCCACTTAAAATTAAAATCTAAATGAAGAAAATTATGAAGTATACAATCAAACAGATTTCCATTTAAAAGTAATATGATTTCTAGATCACAGGATCAGCTCACACAAATCGACTATTTGAATTTCGATAACATAAATAAGACCAAACCCAATTTGAAACATTTATCATCGTAAAGACGTTTAAGTGTAGATTTATGGAGAGCTAAACTTACTAAATAAGCAAATGAGAGTTCTAAACAAGAATATTGTAGGATAATATATTACAACACAGCATTTGAGTAAGAGTGCACAAAATGACACCAAAGACCTTTGTTTTGGAGGAAAAGTGGACGACATAAACAAAATACAGTTTCGCTTTCAAATTTTACCAACGAGACACGACCTATTGTGATCACTCCGATTCACGCCTCGGTACTCACAACAAACTATAAAAACACAAAATAGAAGTGCTTTTATTTGGGTATACGTCTCTAAAGTGCATGTTTACTTATAGGACTTTTTTTTTGTAAGGGGGGAAAATCATCGAATGACTGCTCCCGCCTGGGTGAGGCGGGAGGGAGTGTCAGACTCTTACTGACTAAAAACCACCCCGTTCCTTCTCCTGCACGTCGAGCCGGAGCCCCGGTTACCCGTTAGGTTCGCCGCGACTACTTATAGGACTTAGGAACCATCCTTACTATATATAATATTATAAATCTGAAAGTGAGTTTGTTTGTTTCGCTTTCACGCCGTAACTACTAAACCGATTGCTTTTAATTTTCGCAGACGTAAAGTCAGAAGTCCGGATTAAACAATAGGGTACTTTTTATCCCAGAAAAATTTGATATTCCCGAGGGAAAACAAAAGTATTGGTATAGATGGCGCTGTGTGTATTGGTATATGTCACATAGGCTACTTTTTATCCTTTTGTGATGCGAGCGAAGCCGCGGGTAAAAGCTAGTTTTAAATAAATCGTATACTCATTGTTTTCAACGAATGTTTTGTGTAGAACATTACGTATATAATTATGGATTTAATTCTAAAGTGATAGTTTTATGCCTATAACTTCTGTTCAAACTTTGTTAGGTTAAACAGCTAATTGATGATTAGAACATTTTTTGTCCTGACCTTGTAATTTTAAGGTGTCGGGTCTTTTAAACCGAATTAAGCGGAATATAACTGATATACGGATTAAATCCTTGTCATCATAATTTTATTTTATGGTCTCTAGAATCGATAATACCCGTACGTATAAATCTGTTCCTTTGTTCTGGAAGAATCTAGTATCGTGAGTAAATAACAAAATTCCAGATAGACAACGATTTATGACCATACCAACTTAGATATATAAAAACATCATTACATAAATAAGAAAAAAAACTAATCATACATTACATTAATATTACATGAAATGTTAGAAAAAACAGTATGTTGGATACGATCCAACTACTAGACGCCTTAGAACATGATATATTATTATTTCCCACAACTGGTATCATAAGAGGTAGTATTTGTTCTGTAACTAGCTTTTACCCATGACTTTGCCTTACCTATATCGTTCTCCATACTTCTAACTATATGTATGCAAAATTACAACAAGATTTACTGAGTCGATTCAATTTGAAGAGGTAACAAACACACAAACTTACTGTCGTATTTGTAATATTAATCGGGATTGTCTCATTTTATAGGTTTTTCTTTAGTAAGAAGGAATTCTAGTGTTTGTTTGTCTTCTATGATGTAATATATTATGTTCCAATATGGGGCTTAACTGCCTTGCTCTCTTAGACGGTCATTGACCTCATCTCTTCTTGTTATTGTATGTGTACAAATGTTTGTGTAGACGACGAAATGTTGGCAGAATTACTCTCTTGGCCTTATTTCAAGGTAAATGATTTGGAAGTTTTCTTCTGTTATGATATTATTTGTTATACGAAGAATTATAGTTATTTTCTGATCTAATTCCTTAGAATGCCTTCAATCAATTATAGTTGGCCAGCGGTAAACTATGACATTAGTAATAATAACCTTTTTCGATCATTATACCTCCCAAAATGTAAGAAAAATTGAATTATGAGTTCCGAAGAGGAAGATACTACTACTACATAGGTAAATGCAAAAAACTCTTGCGTCAAGATCTGGTAAAACTGTTGTAATTCATTTATTTAAACCGTTTTTAAAACAATGAATTTTGCTCATTAGTCACACACCATGAATTCCAACTTGCGTAATCTTCTGTATTCAGTAAACCTGATCTGTCAACTGTAATTGATTATACTATTTTTATCTAATGTATTTATACTCATTCGGGAATCGAACCACCACTATATCAGCAGTCTTGCTTGTACAGTTATCAATGAGGTAGACACTAGACATAGCCACTATACTTAAGTAAATGATGACTTAAATTCAGGAAAAGCTATTGGTTCTTTAGATGTATTGTATTCCATGATGGAACAGATATTTTACATTTTCTCAAAGTTTCAAATATAAGATTTAATAAAAGAAACAAAAATATGTGAAACAATGAAAATCCTAACTAAACCAATTAATGCAGGGCTTCAGTATAATCAAAACAATGGATACCGGTAACTTTATTTTGCACGCTACCTGTTTCGGATACATTTTGGAAGCTCTTTAAGGCTCCTCAAAAAACCTCAGAGACCCAAAGGTCCAACGGTACTCCAATTTACATTATTCTGTTCTTTTACCTTTTTTCTGTATAATTTCTTCCTTAGAATTCGCATTATATGTCCCTAAATTGATGAGTTGTTTTTCTTCTAAATCGGATATTTCAATTATAATTTTTGGATCCATCAAACTGGTGATAGTTATTCGAAAAGCATTTGGTAAAAAGAGGCTTTTTATTGTTAATACGATTCCACTTAATAGAGCTGGGGTTCTGAACGTATAAAGGAGAGAGAGCAGACAACATAAGAATCGATACAAACTTTGCATACATCACAAATTCTCGAATAGTGAAAACATCTTTTGATAGCTCTGCTGGTCATTATTGTAATGTTGGTCAGTATTTCATGCCAGTCATATTTACTGTATGGTAATGTAAAAGACGTATACGTACGTCATCTTTTTGTATTATTTATATTCGATAATGTAAACTTGATGCGTTGCTGTCTCATTGTTCATGTTCTTTGATATTGTACCCGTCTAATACATCATCATGAATAAGTCGATTTACTTCAGCAAGAATGCTAATATTTTTCGTTTCAACTCCTCCAAGGATACTTGCTTTTGCATTTACTTTTAGGTTCAAGTTTTCTTTTGTAATAAATTCATTATTTCCAAAGAAGTCGCTTGTTTTCGCTTGTCTAGTGTATTTCATTGTTTGGAGTCTTCCTGCGTGACAGAAATCTGAACAGCTCTTCAAACCAAAAATAGTGATTCATTACATCATCAGGTTGTAACCGCAAATGGTTGTCAGTTTATTTGATCATTTGTATCGAGGCTTATTACGAATACAATCGCGTTTATTGCTAGCAATATCAAGTTATGACCTCCGCGTGTCGATGGCGTTAATTATGTTTTTATTTCATTTTTGATAGATTCATTCTTGAATGTTAACCTGCAGTGAACAATTCTGTGAATAAAAAGCTCAAACAAAATTATATTTGAACTTGTCTGGACAACTGATGGAAGTGATATAAATAAAAATAGTGTTAAAATTGGTTTTTGGGGGGTGATGTGCGTTTGATGTCCAAAGTGGCGAAGTCAGAGTCGAGAGTTGTGCTAGTGGGTGATGGGGATGGTGATGGCTGCTGCTCCTGCACTGGCATGAGGATCGGTGACCTTGGGGGCGTTTTGCTCGAAGCCGCAAAGCTTACCAGGTCCTGGTTCTGCCAAAAGCCTGGATACGGGTGAGTTAACTCAGACACTTGACTCAAAAACACTTATTATTTTTAAAGGTCATGCTATTTCAAAATACAACACAATTCTGATACAAAACTAAAGTTTTATGACAATCACTGGCTTGATAAATTAAATAAAACCTTCAAGGTTTTTGCAAAGGTCAGTAATAAAAATATAAAAATAATGTCACTGTCATACGTGTTTTTCTCTTTTACGAATCGATTTTAGCGTGTTAGTTGTGTTTTATAATTGTGTCAATATCAATAAAGCGAAGGGATTTAAAAACGGATTGTAGTCAAGTTTTAAAATCATGGTTATAGTCAAAACTACGACAGGTGTTGTTGGATTGGCCGTCCATCCGAACCCCATCCACACGTTGGGTTCCCTTTACGGCAAAATACTCCGTATCCTCAGTAAAATGCCGAAGGATGCAACCTATCGAAAGTACACTGAAATTATTGTTTGTGAGCGAAATAAACTCGTTAAAGAAAGCAGGGATTTCGTGGACATCGAATGCAAGATCAATGGTGGACAAGCCGAAGAGCTGATTGTTCAGGCTGACAATGAACTAAAGTTGGCTCGGCAAATGCTGAACTGGAAACCATGGGAACCTTTGATAGAAAAGCCTCCGCCAGGTCAATGGACGTGGCCTCCTCCAAAATCTTAATTGATATTGTATTGTAATGGCAATAAAGTTTAAATTATACTTGCTGGCTGTTACTTTAGATTTTGGCTTGCGATGATCCTTAACGAAGTTTCTAGAAATGAAATAAACTTCAACTTACTTTAATAGGTACTAAATTATGTGCGTTTGTGTTTTTTTTATGGCATAAGCCGGTAAACGAGCAGACGGATCACCTGATGGTAAGCAATCAGCGTCGCTCATGGACACCTGGAACACCAGAGGCGTTACAAGTGCCTTATCGGCCTTTTGGGGATTAGGAGTTTGAGGATCGTTGGGGATTCAGGAATTGGGGAGATTGGAGAAGGGGAGGGTAATTGGGCCTCCGGTAACCTCACCCACACGGCGAAACACAACGCAAACGTTGCTTCACGTTTTCTGTGACGCCGTGGTATCACTCTGGTCGAGCCGGCCCATTCTTGCCGAAGCATGGCTCTCCCACACTTAAAACTTGTGTTGTTAATTATGTTTTTTGTGGAATATTCTATCGTCCTAAATATGTTATTTAGTAGTTTGTTGGTTTATCCTAGTTAGCATTATTGGGAAGGTTAGATAAATATGATCTCAATTCCACCAACCGTATAATTTGTCACAACGTAGGTGTAAACCTCTACACTGATCCTTAGAGAATACACCTTCCATACCTATATTTAATAAATAAAGGTACCAAGATAATGTGTTACAAAAATGGGAAACCTTTGAGTAACATTGTTACAACGTGTACCCATTTAAAAAGGTTTTGCGTGTTAGAGCCGTGTCAGTTACCTCATAAAATCTTTTAGGTATATGCTCAATAGCGACACATTTTATAAAGGGTCTTAGTTACGAGTTAACCGCATAAGTATGATATAGGTATATTGGGATACTTTTTTTAAGGGGGGAAAATCATCGAATGACTGCTCCCGCCTGGGTGAGGCGGGAGGGAGTGTCAGACTTACTGATTAAAAAGCACCCCGTTCCTTCTCCTGCACGTCGAGCCGGAGCCCCGGTAACCCGTTAGGTTCTCCGCGACTCCGAATCGGCATCGGCCCTGTTGGGCCCCATCTGTGGTGGTCAGTAGCTCTTTGAGGCGCGCGCGGAACGCGACGCGCCGTACGCTCGGGATATAGGGATACTGTGCCTATATCACACTTATTTTCACAGTTTAATATTAAAGTTATTAGTTTTATGCTTGATAGTACTCCTTTACTAAGATTAAAGAGTTCTAAACTTAAAATCCCACTAAAAAAAGCAATGACTAATAGCCATCATCCAAACCAAATAACCAAACTTCAAATAAAAAAATCAACCCACCATTTCCAAATTAGTATAATCATCGTCCCGTACGAATATGAAAATTTCTGTAAGACTAAATTACTCAAATAAAATTCGAAAACTCTCGAGGTTCTCGAAGTTTAAGACCAACTTTGGGATCCTCTTAACCAGCTACACGCTACCACCTTCTTTCTACCTTCAACTTTAATTAAACCTCACCCAAGTCCTCAAAAACTTAGCTAGAAATACGTCAAAGGGAATGAAATTGCAATTTCCTTGTTTTTATGTCTTTTATAACTTTATTTATTTTATGAAAAGCTAGTCATAACTCATAATTCTGTAAATAGTAGTGATTGTAATTATTTCACTGCCTCGTTGGCCAAGTGGTCGCAAGTGCTACTGCGACAAGGGGTCTCGGGTTCGATTCCCTGGTCGGGCAAAGTATTACTGGGTTTTTAAAAATCTCAGTAGTAGCACGGAGTCTGGAAATGTGCTCGGTATATGGCAATAGCCTCACCCCCTATTACATGGGACTTATAACATAATTAGTGGATGTTACATTGTACAGTGGCATTAAGTGCTGTAATGTGCACCTCTGCCTACCCCTTCGGGGATAAAAAGGCTTGATGTTATGTTATGTTATGTAATTACTTCATTTAGCGCCTGTTTCACCATCTTCATATAAGTTTCTGATAAACTTATGTAGCAGACAGTTTATACAAATTACGTTCTTAATTAAAATGTATTTGATAAGTACTCATAGCGGCTATCCAGACGCAGTTAAACCGACCCTTAATCTTCTTTCTCTATTCATCAATTTTGTCTAACGCTCATGGGTTTATAGTAATGTATGACAAAGTAATTACTTACAACAATAACTCAAATATACAAACTACATAGTTGTTAAACATCCCTCTATTAAAATTGTATAAAGTTCAAAGCCAAAAGAATAAGAACGTATTACGCAGTAATATCTCATGATCCACCCATTCCTGTGTGACGACTCAAAAAAAATACTGTTTGAAACGTAATTATCACTATACCTTTGTGAGATTAAAAATGTTTCAGCATTTCTCGCCATCCATTAAAAGAAATGTGGGATGAAATTTCAAAATGGCGGTGAAGTGCTCATATCTTGGCTCTTGAGAGTACATTACGTACTTATGTGCCGTAGAGATTAATGCACTATCGTAATTCACCGCAGATGATATCGCTGCACTTATTTATAAATCGATTATGATATTAATGTGTTATAAAGATAACAAAAAATGTTCTGAAGTAAATCTCTCGGTGCATACTAACGTACCTAATACTTAACAACCTTCTCTGTAATAACAAATTCGAGCAACATTTCGAATCAAAACTTGGCTTACAGCCACACAAAATACATCCTTAGAATAATCTTAAAGCTATAACTTTGATCGCCGCACAAACAGCCAGTTTCCTTGTGTAATATTTAAGACAAACTTGGCATGCACACAGACGGAGCAGCTAAACGTGTTATTACAAAATCGGGAAGGATTTCAAAAATATTGTTCTAAGAGAAACATTCTTGCTTAGTCCGCTGAAATCGCCTGTCATTCACAGCTCTAGCATGACCTAGATCGGGCGCGTGTAGTCTTGATCTAGTGTTGTAAATCCACTTTGACAAAACCGACGGTTTTAGAGAAAGGCTTAGTTTGGCCAACAGCCTGGACGTGAGCCAAAGGACACTGCTAGTTTTAAAATTCTACGTTTTCACGCGAAACTCCAGCAATTTACTGTAGCTGAAGAAAATTCTACTACTTAAAGTCTTTTTATATGTTTGAGTTTTTTTAGTATCCGACTTAATGTAAGTAATGCTTCGACCATTTATATGTATGATGTAATGTTTGAAATATTATCATTTACATCGTAATTATTATTTACATCATAATTTACACACAATTTTTTTTCAAGGTCGCCTAATAAATCCTATTCAGCTTATTATCAACATTGTCCAATAAACATCAACAATAAGCCACAACGATATATCAAAACCCTATTCAAAATGACAAACTCGATAAATATGAATACACAAAAAATGCAAATGACTGTTTAGACAGCGAAAACAATTACTGAGGATTTAAAATTCACACTCTACGTGTATTGTGCTCCGTTAAAAGGCGGATGATGAAAGTATCAACTCCCATTTTGTTTTTAAAACCGCGCAATCTCGACCTCTCGCAGGCATAGGCATTGCCCAGTCTAATAACCTACAATTTTTCGCTGGGCCCAGAAACTGGGTCGTTTTTGCAACGAGCGCGCGCATTCAGGCGTATTAATCAAGTCGGTGCAACTGAATAGAGGAACTCCCAACTCCCCCCGGCTCCCTCTCGATGACAATGGGGGAATGTCGCGCTCCATTTGACAAATAAACTGCACTTGAGACACTTAGTGCTCCCGCAGTTCAGCTAGTTGGTAGTTTGAAAAATTGTTGTTTTAGGGACTCCGTTTTCTCGCTAATGACTTGTGTAATTTGTAAGTTAAAGCGCTTTCTTCTTTTGCTTCTAAGAATAGCAGTCTCATTTCGAAATAATCTTCCCATTTCGGCTTGTCCTGACTTGCACAAAAATATACTCGCGGAAAGCGTCGAACGTGCAGTTATTAAGATGGCACGCATGTTGCTGACATAAAATCTTCGTAAGCTCTGTTGTAAGTTACTTCAGGGATAGTTCCACAATACTTGGCGGGGCGCCAGAGTCAAGAGCCTAACGGACTAATTGACAAGCTTTATCACAAAAATTAAACGTACAATAAAAAATTACGACTCTTAACATTGTGCCGGTCGTCAGTAAATGGCAAATCTTTAGGTAGCACTTTGTTTTTATTGTAAAAACGATCGTAAACGTCGTCCTGATGGTTTAAAGCTGACTTTTGGAGCGGATTTTTAAGCCTTAGACTTAAGAATCGTCCATATCTAAGCCCCCAGTAATTTCGGTCTTTAAGTGTTTTAAGATGCCCAAAATTGGAGTTGTTTGTCAAAATCTGTTTATAAATTGGGTGCTTATTTTCTTAAACACGATCGACCAAGCTTCGTACCGAAATAATGGA